CACACACACACACACACACACACACACACACACACACACACACTGCAGTTGTTTTCTTTTGGGTGTCCATTTTGCTGTAATTTTCTAGATGAAATTGACAAAAGCATACATTTAGACTGGATTGTTAGAAAGGAGCAGTATTACTCTGGGCTTGGGCTTAGTGGACGATCACATTGCCCAGCCTTCCCACAGGCCCTCTTTTTGGCTAAAACTTGGCAGTTGTGTAACTGAGTGTGAGAAGCATTTTTTCCCCTTGCTATAAAGGGAAGGTGGAAAGCCCTGGATCCCAACTTGGTGTCAGGCTGAAGAATTAGTAAGCCTAAGGGAATTAAAGCTAGAAACCTAAGGGGTGATTTATGGATAAGCCATACCAAGACTCCTTTTCTTCATCTCAGTCCCTATCCCAAAACCAGATCAGAGAAACACCAGCTTGGGATGCTGCTGGGTGACACGAGAGGACTGGGTAAAAGCTGCCCGCCCACCCTGTTTCCTCACCCTCAGCCCGAAAGCCACATCAGCAATGCTCCTTCTGCCTAGAGCTACAGAAGACTCCCCTGCCAGCTGTCCCCACATGCATCCTGAAGATACTCCCACGTTCCCCTGTTCAGTGATAACCTCACTTTTCTTCCTGTCAACCAACTTATGGCTTCATGGTCAGAGTCTTAGTCTAGGGAAGGGGCATATGTGTTTCAACTTTGGGATGGGTAACCTTGAGCTGAGAGCTGGTTCCCCCCTGAGGTACTGAACTGGGTTTAAGCATTGGTGAATGGCAGGTTTGGCGAGGATTCAAGTCTTTCCCTCCGTGTGGGGCAGGGTGCTGGGCAGAGCCTCCTCAGGCCCTTCTAGGGAGAGAGATGATAAAGGACATCTGAATGTGTTCCTTTAAGAACTCTGAGGGAAAAAGGGGGGTACAAGGACTAAAGGCATTGCTCAGCCACAGACAAGATGAACAGGCCGATGGGTCTGTGGGGGAGATTCTCATGAGGTGGAGAAGGCAGGGCCTGATCTGGGAGAACAGCCCTTAACTTGTGACTCCTGGCAAGCCTGGGAATGGCGCCAGTTGGGCATGGAGAGGGGAATGGGTTCATACTGGGCAACAGCATTCTCCTGACCTTAGCTCCGAGGGCAGCCCTGAGCCTAGGTTGTGTCATGATCCCTGAGGAATTATTTATGGTCTCCCCATAATAGGCGGGGAGCCCTCCGGATGACAAACTGGTCATACTTCTGTGCCGAGCAGCAAAAGCCAACTTCAACCCAGCTCATGATAAATGCCATATACAGCTGGCACGTATTCCAGAAACCCAGGCAGTGGCGATCAAAGAAATCACTATCAAGAGTGAGTTGAGGGCATCGGGTGGGGCCTGTGCCGGGTGGGAATGGAGCGCGGGGTGACAGTTCAGAAACCATGAGGATGGGTCAGGTTGGTGATTCCTTGGGTCCCCAAGACCTGTCAAATGACACCCCCTCCCAGGACCACCCAGGAGGCTGATAGTCTGTCCTCGTCTGAGGGCCCAGTCTCATGCCTTACCTCATAACTGAGCTAGACCACTGAAGCACATCTCTCCTCTCTCACAGGTGTTCTCCTGCCCAAGAACATGTATGAATTGCTTAAAGACAAATGGGATGACCTCAAAGAGGTAAGTGGGCTCCTACCCTGTGTCGGGACAAGGTTGGATCAGGAGCCAGTCCCTTGAAGTCCACAATTATTTGTTCCACAGTGTCTCATAGAGGGGCCTCTAACTGGCAAGCTTCTAGAAGATGGGAGGATAAGAGAGGGGAGAGCAGGGTGGAAGAGGTACCACCAAATGCTAAGAAGAAGAGCTCAAATGAATGGGAGACAGGGAGACCCAGAACCTGTTTTCTGCTATGTCACTTCCACTCCCGGCCAGGTGGGAGTCAGCAGCATGAAGTTTGGGGATCAAGAGCCACCAGAAGAGACTGAGGACCGGTTCAGCATGCCCCTCATCATCACCATTGTCTGCATGGCATCCTTTCTGCTCCTTGTTGCTGCCCTCTACGGCTGCTGCCACCAGCGCCTCTCCCAGAGGAAGGACCAGGTGAGGACTTCACACCCTTGCCAGAGCAGCAGTCCGGTTCACCAGATGGCTCTCACCTATTATTCACGGATTACAGGAAAGTGAGTGGGCCATGGACCCCTTCTGACTGGCAGAGACCATCCTCATAGGAAATGAAAACCTACGTGGAAGATTAAAGAGACATTATGGTAGAAGGGAAGAACATGGGCTTTGGCATCAGAAAGACTTGGTTTAAGTCCTAGCTCTGCCTTCTATTAGCTGTGTGACCTTGAGTAAGTCTCTTAGCTTCACGTTTCTCATCTGCGTAATGAAGATAATGTCTGCCCTGAATCAGCAGTTTTTTACCTATGTTACTAGAATTCCCATCATTATAGTTCCCCCAGACCCATGGTTCTCAGCGTTGGCTACATACTGTGGGGAGCCTTACAATTAAATTCCCATACCTAGTTTCCTCACACACCAACTAAAACAGAATCTCTGGTTCAAGATATTTTTTAAAAGCTTATGAAGTGACTTTACTGTGCAACCCAGATTGTATCTCAGACAGAGAGAGCACCATATCCAGAGGGCTGCTCTCTGCAGCAGAGATGGGTGTACATCCTGCCTCACCCATCTTGCTTAGAATTATAGAGGTTCTGCGATGCCCAGCCTAATGAAAGTCATTTTCTTAAGAGTCCTTCCCAATTCAGTACAGCAGAGGAAGGTAAGGTTTGGGGAGAAGAAATGGAGGGAAGAGGAAACAGATTGGAGGACTCTGGAGAGAAAAAAGTCCATCTCCACTAACTTCATGGATTTGCCACCAGGGTGAAGGTGAGATAAACTAGGACTTTTAGAATGTTGGGCAAATCCGTGTTTCAAACTAGCCCCGAGGCTGATGGCCAGCAGGAGGCATTTACTGTTCATATTAGCCAAACTGGGGTTCTTGGATTATACGGGTATATATTATATTAAGGCCAAGTGCCCTCAAAAATGACACTTTCTTCTTGGGTCTTCTTCCCCATTGCAGCAGCGGCTAACAGAGGAGCTACAGACAGTGGAGAATGGTTACCATGACAACCCAACATTGGAGGTGATGGAGACCTCATCAGAGATGCAAGAGAAAAAGGCAGTCAACCTGAATGGGGAACTAGGGGACAGCTGGATCGTCCCTCTGGACAACCTAGCCAAGGACGACCTAGATGAGGAGGAAGACACACACCTCTAATCAGGTCTGTTGGCAGCCTCCAACAGTGCCACAGAGCTCCAGACTGAACCACCTCAAGTGCCATTTGGACAGGGGAGGAAAATCCCTCCCATCTGAGGGAAAGACTGGAGAGGGAATGCAGACTCAGAAGGTCCGCTTCTCTTGATACCCACAGAGCCTTAGTATTTCCCCTTTCAAGCTGAACAAATCACATTCTGTCTAGATCCCTCTTGTAAAATATCCAACTAGTGCCTGAGCTCAGTGCTGCTGGAAGATGAGAGGAAGGGAGATGATCAAGGGCCATACAGGGGACTTACATAATCATCCAGTAAAATCCCTTCATTTCATGGATGAAATGACTGAGGCCTACAGAGGGTAAGGTCAAGGTCAAGGTCATGCAGCCCCTTGGCAACAGTCAGGATGAAAACAGATCCCTTCATTCAACCCAGTGTTATTCCACCATGTCACACTGCTGTGATCATTCGCACCTTCCTTTCAGAGCTGCCCTGGGCAGAGGGTGAAGCTACCAGTTGATGGATGAGATGGAAGGGAAAGCAGGGCCAGACCCTGTCTCAGTGGGATCTGACTTCTTGGAAGTATGGGCCCCAAAATTTCCATCTTCTACCCCAGCCTCATGAGCCAGTGTTACCATCCCTTTTGTTCTTCCCCCTCTCTTCACTCAATTTCTGTTTCCATTTTGTCCCAGAGCCCCTGGGACTAACACAGGTCCTTTATGACCCTGAAGCCCTTGTTCTGGATTCTGCTTTCCTTGCGTTTGCTTGGTGAGACTGGGACTTAACCCACACAAGACGGCCAGTGTGAATGAGGTCTGCTTAAGGAATCCACCCACAGGTGAACAGAGAAGGGGAAGCCCTGCCTCCCAGGATGGGTCTAGCTCTATTGCCCAAGGCATTCCTGGAAGAGGCTCCTCAAGAACTCTTTTGCCTCCCATTCCCATGAGGGACTAAAATCTGCAGCAGCTACTAAAAGCAAAGTGTCCCTATTTTGTAGTTGACTACTTAGCTGATGGGGGTGAAGACCCCAGCTAGGAATCCCCGAGATCCAGCAGGAAAGAGCAGTAGCTTTAGGACAGACTTCCTTGGGGGGGGGCCCCTGTCAGCAAACAGGTGTCTTTAATAGACAATCGAGTATAATAGCCAGGAAAGGTAGGCTTTATTCTCTCATTTCATAGGAAACTCAGGGACTTTTCAAGTTGCTGAGAGTTTTGTTGTTATTTGTTTTTTAATCCAGTCTTCTACATTCCAAATGCCAAAGCTCAAATTGATGGGAGACTTTCAGTTAGCTAATCTCACTGATCCAGTTCTCCTATGCCACTGGGCAAGAAAGGCCTAGAAGGTATGATGCATTCTAAGGTTCACAGGGACAGCCTGGGAGACTAGTCGGCTGTTCTTTCCTGGTATTGTCTGTCTGGCATGGAACTAGGTCTTGCCATGTCCTTTTCTCTGTATGTTTAGTGGGGATGCCCAGTTCTGTAGTTTCTGGTGGCATCTCAGGGAAACAAACTTTGTAGAGGGGTTTTTATGGAGCTCAGCAGTTAGCTCCCAAATAGATGGCACCTGAGGACTGGGCTTAATGAGGCTTAATTTGATTGTCAGGCAAGAGGGACTCCTGTGTGGAACTTTGAATTTTGCCCGTAGTCTCTACTGTTCCTGGAATCAACTAAGAAGATGGGCAGAACTACTTAGGAGAATGAAGATGGTCATTTCATGGCAAAAAGCCAGAACCCTAGAACCCAAAAGTTCTGATGAAATAGACTATCTGCTTTGGAGTAGCTTATTTTTCAAAAGGGAAGGAGCTTAGTGGGGGAGATGTGTCCTTGAGTGCCTGATTCCTTCTTCATAGCCATTGACTGGCCTTTGATAGCCTAGGGGAAGAGGAAGGCCAGGGGTTCAAGTAGGGGCCCCAGTGAGTTTCCCAAGAGCTGTAAAGATTCTAGGCTAATAAGACTCCAAAAGTATTTGCCTTGATTCTCTAGCATTTAGAGGTTGGCAGAATAGAGAATAATGCCAGTTTGGGAGAAAAATAGGAAATTTTTGTTATCCTGAGATGTTTGCTTCCTTCCTGCCCAACGTTTGGTTCTTTCCACCCAGTGGATTTCTATCATGGCTTCTGTGGGAGAGGCCAGATGGATTACTATTCCTATCCTGATTTTGGGTCACATTTTACCAGCCAGGTCTTTAGGCACAGCAAATATGCTTCTGCAAATTGATCAAAGGCTGCAACCCCAAGGTGTCTTGGGGAGAGAGATGATGGCAAGGTCTAGAGAGTAAAAATTATACTTGGTCAAGTGGAATGACATGCAGTTTTATCCAAGGAGAACCTCAAACAGCTTTGGGCTGGTTCAGAGGTTCTTTCTTTTAGTGCATCCAAATTGTGTTACTCCAGGCTTTGAGGGCAATTTCACAATCCAGTACCTTGCCTTGGCTTTTTAAGGTTCACCACTAGACATCTACTACGTTAAAGATCATACAGCCAGGCATCTGTAAAGGTCACCTTCCCACATCATTTACTGGATTCTAAATGCTGTCTGGTAATTCAGATTCTGGGGCTGAGAAAGGAGAAAAGGAACACCAGGAACTCACCATGACTTTAATTAAGCAAGTTATGCCAAAGAGAGAGAAACTGTACTTCAGTGGCAAACTGGTTTCCCTAAGCTGCATAGAAGGCCAGAAACCATAAATTTGATGATTGGACAAAACCCAGTGGCAAGCGTGCTGTTGTGTGAGTGGGGAGGGAAGCAGCAATGCTTCTTAAGGAGGTACAGAATATTCTTTGCATCCTAAGACAGAATACGGGTGTAATCTAGTCAGAACACAAGATTCTTTTTTCCCTCTCGTTGGGGAAAGCTAACAGAAAGTTTATTATACCACTTCTTGAGCTTTATCCTTTTTGACTACATACTGGGGAAATGTCAAAAAACAAATGCAAGCTGATGCATATATACCTATTTTTTGATAATGTATATACAACAGCCACATGTTAATTCACCCTGCTCTTCTTTAAGTGAATATACTTTGAAAAAACATTTGTTAGCTAAAAGGTGGCTTTTTTTCCCTCTGAACAGGAATGTACACGTCTATTTTACTAGAAATGACAAGTTTTTGTTTCACTTTTCTTTTAATGAAAAATGAAATATAAGACAGGCTAATAACAGTGTTTGTCTTGTAGATCAGGCATTTTTACTTTTAAATATGATCCTCACCCCTTCCCCACTAAGTCCCAGCCTATTAACAATAAGGGTTGGAGCCAGTATACACTGGTTGGGAAGTGACGCTGTAGTCCTAGGGAGAGGGGCTCAGAGGTCTAGTCCACTCGTTTTGTTTTGTTTTAAATGGAAAAGGAGCCGGAAGCTCAGAAAGAAAAATGACTTGGCCAAAATCACATGTTTAGTAACAGAAACAAAACTAAAACCTGGGTTGGAAGACTATTCAGTACTGTGTGCCTCAGAAGGAATCAATTAAGGACTGCTAATTAAGGATGGGCACCAGAATGACATAAAGGACAGAATTCCCTTCTTAAACCTTGTCCTGCAGCAAGGCTAGGGAGGACACGAAGACAAAAAGAGGAAGCTTCCTGGTCCTTTGACGCTTCTGAGGTATTTAGATCTATAAGACTTAACTGAGGGATTCTTTTCTGCCAGTGAACAGTTTTGAATGAGCTTTCCCATAAGGATCTTCTACTAGCAGGACCAATGATCAAAGGGAACAAGATTTGGAAGGCAGAGGGGGCAAGAGTAAAGCAATGGCATGTCCCTTATCATCACTGTCACTAGCTGAGTGTCTCAGGTTTGGGGAAGACCCAACAATGAGTGAAAGGAGGGGACTGCTATTTGATGTGGGTCTTTTGGTTACAAGTGAATGTTTACCAGTTTGCTTAGGAGACTGGGGGAGCATATGGCTTAGTGGACAGGGGTCTAAAGTACACTGGAATTTACCGAGAAACTTGTTCATAAAGACTACACTTAATTATTGTGATTTTCTTACAAAAATATATTTTGGAAAATTGTACACTGTCAATTAAAGCGCTTTTGTGTAAGCTGGTACGAGCCCTAGTATTTTGCTCTGATTGGCTTACGTTCTTCTCTTGTGCACGAGGCTCATCACTGAAGCACCTGAGGACGTCAGATACTTGCATGAGTTCAGCAACCTCTGCTCTTAGTAATGTGGCCCTAATTCTGCAGGGCCACAGAGTAAAAGAGGAATCTGAAAGAAAGGAAAAGGGGGATCCTGGAGGTGATGCTGTTTCTCCAAATTATCTCACGCTGTTCTACTCATCATAACTGAAAGGACCTCATTTTCCCTCATGTTGTTTTATCAGTGTTTTACCTGCAGTCTTCCTTCTGCTTCAGACATGATTGTGAATCAACCACCAGTAAAAGACCTCAGTGGAACCGCTGAACCACGATCAGGTATAAAAACGCTGGCAGAGAGACAAAACAAATGAAAATTTAAAAAATAAAGCAGTTCTGTTCTGGCCCTGTTCCTGCCCCTGAAAACGATCCATTTACTTGTCACAAGAAACCTATGCCTGTTCCTTATCTAGAGATGTAGTGAAGATGAAGGAGATTCAGGAACAACAAAGATGGTTCTGATTCATTTTTGGTATTATCTATGTACCTATATGTTTTATCATTGGGAGGGGAAAAATTATTCCTAACTTGCAGAAGGGAAACTGGCAGGTGAACCTGGTCCATTCATAGTTACAAGGTAACAATGTCTTCTGTTTGCCTAGCATCTTAAAGTCTACAAAGCATTTTTACATACCTTATTTAGTAGTTGCCACCATTCTACTAGTAGGGAAATTTGGTACAGAGGTTAAGTATTCTCTTTGAGGTTACACAGCTATTTAGATGGTAGTAGTAGGCCTTGATGTATATCTTTTGTCTCCAATCCTACATTCTTTTTCCAATACCACATTAATGCTTGAGTTCCAACAACAAAGTACATTTTGAATCCAACTACTGTAACAATGATTTTCCTTTTATATAGAAGTTCTGAAAGGTAGTTAACACCCTTAAGGATGGGCCAGGGGTCTTTTGAGGTTAACTTCAAGAGTGTGTCAGGGATACAGAAAGGAGTACAAGTACCAGGAACTCAGGCAGGCCCCTGGCCATGCTTGACTCATAGTTTATCGCTGGCCACAAATTAGACCTAAGACTCCATTCTCTTCCTGAATAAGTCATTCACCCTGTTCCTGCCCAGCCAACCAAGAGGCACTCTTTTGAGTTGTCACTTTTAATTCGTTATGCCTTTGTCACTTACAATCTCCCCCATCCTACAGACTCCCTCCCAAACCACATTTCTAACGTACTCCAAGGGAAAAAAGTAAATAGTGACTACTATAATTAGAACATGTGATAAATACCGAGAGTTAGTATTTTTTTTTAAAACTTTGCATTTTATAGATTAAAAAGTCAATGGGATCCTAGCAAACAGGATCTGCTGCCAATATTCACGTAAGAAATGGAGAAAGTAAGGCAGAGAAGTTGAGACTGTGCCCTGTGCTATACGGAAGTCAGCAGTGGACCTGGAAATGAACCTGGGATTACTGACTACCGCTCTGGGCTACCTGTCCGATGGCCCAAGCTCAGGAAGGAGGTGTGCCACAGACATGTCAAGTGTCTGTCACCCCAGCCTGGGTTTTGCCGACCATCAAAAATCACCAGCACAGCAGTTGACAGGACTCTTCTACCTATACTTTCCTTTCTTCCCTGTAATAATGTTTCTGGAAAGGATCTAACACTGCCTTTGCTCTTTCCAGGTGAGAGCCCAGCAGCAGGGTTCATAACCACCCCCCTGTGAATATTAGAGAAGCTTCAGACTAAAATGACAGAACAGTTACAAGCACCATTCTCTACTGTCTCACCTTCCCTATGCCACAGAAAGCCCCAGGTCTCTACGCTGCTCTTCCTTTTCTTCCAGGACATGTGAAAGGCAAAAGACATAGCAAAATATGGGGCAGTAAAGCAAAGAAACAACCAACTAGTATTTAAGCCTGTGCCAGGGCTAGCATAGGCTTCAGGTGAGCCATCAGTTAGCCTTTCCCCTCAATACCTTCAGAATTGGAAGGATTAGTGATAAGAAACATTGCCCTCATTTTCAGGGAAAATATTTTTTTCAATCTCTGTAGATTGGCTGTCTTCTAAGTGTGTGAGTATGAGCGCACATGGCCATTTCCCCATTAGAGGTTGAATTATGTCCTTGGGTAAGAGAAGTTCTTATGTAGCACTTCCAATCCCAGTAGATCTCCACACTCACTGAACATGACATGGGAGCAGCTGGCATCTCAACTGTTGAACGCAAAGACCTCTGCTTGTTGCTGTTTTCACACTAGAAGACAAATATATCTATGGAGAGGAGGTAGTGTCTCATTTCCATCCTTTAAATTCTCTGGAGGATTAACCAAGGAAAGGCCAACTGCTTACCTTATCACTGCATATCATGTTTTCCTGTTTTGAAAACAAAGAAATGTTACTTAGCCACACTCAAAAGTGCTCTAGAAATAAAAGCTATGCAGTCAAATGGATTATTTGATGTATTTTTTTTTTTTGGTAAATTAAGAAAGCATAATCCCTATTTTGAATAGGATCAGCTGACCATTAACTTACTGTAGAGTGTGGGATCACAAAGCCAAGAAAATGGAAACCAGGTCAGGAGACGAAAGGGGCAGTAACCATTACTGAGTCAATGTGCGGAGCTCAGACAACTCTAACAATCCATTATCTCTGGCATATTTCTGAGATAATTCTTTTCAAGGTTCAGCCCTCAAGGTTTCTATCCCCCTTACTGAAGACAGGGATCCAGAATTTTTCTAAACTCTGCAACCTCTCCAGGTTCTCTCTATTATTTTTTCTACAATTAATTTTCTATTTCAGTTCAGTTTTTCTCGACTAGTTCCTAAGTAGAAGACAATTGTGTCCCCCTTAAAGAAAACCTGGGAAACACAAGTCAAAATTTACACAACAGATGTAAGGATGGTCAATAACAATAAACATTGTTTGAAATAATTTGTCAGTGTTCTTTAAAAATAAAAACTTCCCCCGGAAACTTTGTGAGATCCACCAGAACTACTTTATCTCATCATTCTCAAAGGCCCCTCTATTGTGTGTCACTATTGTCCACCTTTGTAAGCCTGAATAAAACTTACCTTTTTGAGGAAAAAAAAAATGTAATAATAAAATACAAACAGTTTAAAAGCTGACTTCTAAAGAGTTTTAGGAAACGGGACATCGTGTCGTGTCCATATATAACTTTTTATTAAGAAAATGAACAAAATACATTCTTTCTTCATATGTACATTACATACAACATAATTCTACAATTGTAGTTGTTCAGATCACTCTTTTACTTATTTATTCACAAAGCAGTGTTAACACATTAACCAAACCTGGGATCAGGAAATTAGTTGTACTAAAACAAAGTCCTTTAAAAGTCCAAAAGATTGGACAAAAGTAAGATAAACCAGAGAGGATCACAAGGCAACTGGGGAAGGCTACAGAACACTCAGTCTAGCCAAACAATCACTTAGAACAGTTACGCTGGAAGAGATCTGATGCCTAAAAAGCACTTATGCTAACAAGCTCCAACTAGCTCATGCCAGCTATTCCAGAGTTCCCTCATGCCCACTTCTGATTTAGGTACTTGAGCATACAAGCCCTAATTCCATGATGCCACGGAGGAGCAGTCTCATATGAAATACATAGCTTCTGAATCTTAGCTGGTAAGCAGAGAATACATACTTTGGAGAGACATTTGCTAAGCATGGTAAGGGAACTTATATCAAGGATTCCTTTAATCTGTTTTGCCCTTTCTTTGCTCTTCTCTGCTTTTCCTTTGGCCTTTGAAAAGTACCTCATCTTTTTTGGGTATGGGTTTACTCATACTAAAAGTCCATCTAAACAGAAAGCTCCTCCTGGGTATGAATGTGCTCCAAATGTCCATAATGGTGCATAAAGGGCTTGAAAATTCAAGTGAGTCAGAGATGAAATTTCCAAAGACCTAAACAAGACAATTCCCTATAGGTTCTGGGTAATATCTTACATTCACAGTTCACGCTGAAAACATACGTATCAACAGAATTATTTTCAGACTAACAGCAATGCTTAAAGGAATGTAAGTAAGGGTTGGGACAATGCTTGTACCCTGGTCCTCCACAAGTGGTAAAAGACAATGAGAATGGCTGTGTCAGTTTTTTTTCTCTTAATTTTCTGGGCTTTACCACATTGGGTAACAGAAGGTAGTCAGGAGAAACTAAGTGAGTAAGTCTCATCAATTGATTAATAGTGGTTTGCCTTCTTTACACTTAGTACCTATTTCTATGATAAGCATACTTTTATAATCACAAAAATCAATAAATGTTATCACTTACAAGTCCCATAAATGATATTTAATGGTCTCTAACTTTCAGATAAGCTGGTTGCTGTCCCTATCTTTCCAGTCCAGGAGATATTCTAAGAAACAGAAGGAGCTATCCACAGCATTACTAAGCAGACTGGGAAGACAGATTCTATTGGCTTCTCAATCTAATTTCTAGTCCAACTATATTAAAGGGACCTTAATTTCTGGCCACTGAATACTTCTAGTTTATAAAAAGAAACAAAACACTAGACTTAAAAAAAGTTCTAACATCGTTTGCAAGTTTCTTGTATATAAATATGCTATTTTGGAAAGACAGAATGTTATCAAGGCCAAGACAAGAAAAAGAAGTCCTTAGCTTTCCCATACTCTTCCGAGGCTGCAGTCTCAACTCTACAAGTATTTCTGAAGTGGTGACAGGGAAAGAAAGAATAAAATGTATATATATCTGCTCATAGAAAAATCACATTATTTTGCAATTTCTGAATTGAGTTGAAGACTATACATAAAGGAAAACTAATACTATGCAATTTATTTATTTCAAAAGACACATTGCACAAGTCAAAAAAGCAAGCTGGCTTAAAGAACAACACAATCATAGCATTTCTTGGCACAGCTAAATGTAATGCTTAAGAAAGGAAGTCCACTTTTATTTCCCTAAATGAGTGGTTTATAACTGAGGGAGAAAATAGTTTACAACTGGTCAGGCATCAAAATCATTTTTCTGGGAAAGGAAAAAAAATCTCAAAAAGGAGACCAAGTGCATGACTTTTTAAAACATTTATCTTCCCTACTGAAGACTACATATTTAAACTTTTGGACTTTGATAACCTACTATCAAATTTGAGGTTGGTTAGACAATTACTTTAGTACACCTTATACCTTTGTACTCAGTGCTCTTACAAATATAACTAATGTGTGTATGTAAAATTAAGCTAAGCCTTTACAAAGACGGAAGTACCCTAGGACTTCTAAAGTCAGCAATTAAAAAAAGCCACAGCAATTAAAAAAAGCCATGCATTTCTGTTCTTGTGCTTTCCCCCCTTCATCTTAAGACGGTAAATACAGCAACTACAAGGCAACATGCTAAAAGAGTCACTTGTAAACATCTGATGGCATAGCGTTGATGGTATAAAATCCCCTCCTTTGTTGCAAAAGGAATTTATAAAGATCTGCCTGCTGCAATGGAACTGGACTTATTCTAGATACCTTCTCTAATATAATTAATCAATTTACAGATGTGGAGAAAACCTAAAGAATAAACCAAAATTACTAAGTACTTTCAATGCCAAGTACAGAACTTATGTATTTCTTAGCAAAGCAAAATAAGCAGAGACCCTTGGGATTATGCATAATTAATTAATTTTAAAACATGTACACTAAACTGATGTCAGTTCAATTGTGTACAGGTTATAAATTAACATGAAATGACAATTGTCTTCCTATTGTAAAAGACTGGGAAATGAACACCAGCCAAATGACACTAGCTAAACTGTAATAAAGGCTTTCTTGACATTCGTTAAAAAAGGAGAAAAATACACCTCAAAATTGGCCTCTTGAGCAACTCCTTAATCATGCAGAGAGGACTGTTCAGTGTATCACACAGTGTTTTCTCTTCCTGCCAATTAATCTGGCATTAATTAAGCACTGAACAAAACTGAAGAATGATCATCTCAGGCTGGTATTCATGTGGCAGACAGCTCAGATATCCAAACTAGTTGCTGTGAATGCTAGCAACCCAGATGGTATAGAGCTGTGTTACAGCAAGAGCTCAAAAGCCATGAGAAAGCAAGTTCCGTGGGAGCCCCCAAACTGCATGTTACAATGTTTGTCACTTTTCCCTCTGGAACCTTATCAAGGAACTGGCTGCACATAAGAAACTGCTCACCTCGTTTAAGATCTAGAGCCGATTATACTGGGTTTTCTGTTTCAAGATCTCTTAACACCTATTTAGAGAGAAGGTGAGAAAAGCAACTAACTAAGAAATGCTGCTTTCCAAAGACTTCAGATTACCTCAGCTTTGATCCCTTTAGACAGCCTTCTTCCCAGCAGTGCATTAATAAATTTAACATAAGGTTACGAATGAAGAGCTTCTTTTTCATTTAGACTTGCGGCCCTTCATATCCATGAGCAGAAGGCCCTATTTTTCCTTCTCTAACATATCTCCATTTTCCTTTCTACTCTCTTCCTGAGGCTTAATACCTCCAAGTGAAAATGCCACAGACAGGCAAAACAGGATATTGCTCACAAATATTTAACAGTTCATTGGGACTGTTTGAAAAGCAGATAAAAAGGAAGGTAAATCATTTCATCATTATGTGCTACCTTATCTAAGAAAAAAATAGACAAGTAACAGTTATTTCATAGCACTCTAAGGTATTCCTAATACTTCATCAATTCTTAACACAAATTCCAACTTAAGCAGAAAAATCAGTACTACAGAGGTTGGGGAGGGGTGGGGTGGAGAAAAGCTACAAAATACAAAGACAAGACAAGGCAGTAGGCATGGAAATCTGGAGATGTGCTGAATTCCATGAGCTCTCCTATGAAACTTGTATCTTATCAACAGTTCTATGATGGTACTTCCTAGTGCCAGGAAAAGAAGCCAAAAATGACTGAGCTGCCGTAGCCATATTACTATCCCCCAAATGAAATGATTCAAGTATTTTTATAGCAATATCTGAAGTTATTCTTTAATGAAGTAAAATTTTATATTTCACTACTCTGTTGTCATAAACAAAGATAAAAGAGCACGTCTGTCTCAGAATGATTTTGGCTTTTTTTTCCTCAGGCAGTATGACACTCATATGCAATGCCACAGAAAACCTATGAAGTATAGGGCTTAAAAAGCCAAGAATCAAGTCAGGCTAGCTAAGAAAAATGCCGGAGACACAATTCACAGTATTTGGTGAGTAGGAGGAAGTTAAAGTTAAAAGATCACATCTAAATAAAATCTTTAAAATCGTATTTTTTGAGAAAAATAAAAAGAACATTTAGTTAAATCAATAAACTGAAATAATTAGTTTTCCCTGCCAAAACAAATGATGGCAACGTCGTCATTCAGCTGATCTAGCAGGTTCCTAATTAATTGTTTCAACAAACAACTCGGAAACTTCCACCTTCAACTAAAATACCTCTAGACTAGAATTTGGATAGCCAAGGCATTTTAGCAAGCATTATTACAAATTGCAGGAAGGTAACAGGCCACAGTCAAAAACCACAAAAGAATAATGTTATCTATTAAAGAACATAGCAATCTTTGAGTGAAAGGGCCCAAAGATCTAATTTACAAGCACTGTCATGTGCAGATTCTCTGATGCTCCTCCAGTAACTACAAACTTTTTCTTAGGTAACCTTCATATCCCAGATCAAGGACTCCTGTAATTTAAAACTGAAAATTCAGGCCAGAATTTTTACAAAAGGATGAAATTGCAGATGAACATGGATTTTTTAAGAAAAGAAGGGTTAGGAAGGGTATGTTTTTTTATAGCTAAAAGAGCTATAAAAAGGAAGGTAAATCCTCAGAGTACACATTGTAATAATCCCCTCCCATACAAATCACTTCAAACCCTAATTCTCAACTGCTTTGCAACATTCAACTAGCTAAAGAGTTAACACAACATTCACTCAGGAAATAACAGAATAACCCACAATTACCCAATGTATTTCATATGGTATTAAGAGTAATTATAAGTGACTTCTTAATGTAATTACCAGGAAACAGTATAATTCAGAGACTAAAGTCAGGAACATACTCCTAAATACTTTTTGACCAACTAAACATCATTCTCAATCTTTCACTAAATGATTAAGTGCCTCAAACTAGTTTTTGTTTGTAGGTTAGACTTTAAATTTTCCTTTATTACATGAAAATCTGTTAATGTACCTCAAAAAAGCACTTTTAAGGCAGATGTGAAGAGATCCACTGGAAGGATAAGCTGGCAACCATTTATATTCAGTATCTGTATTCCAATAAAGAATGCAGTTTTATAATCTTAAACTAATCACTGAGCCTAAACCCAACAAGCCTTCCCATGATAAACCAGTGTTAACTTTCTAGTACTGTCTATTTTTACTTATTAGACATGGACAGGTCAGATTCAGTATAAATGAAAACCAGGTTTAAAAAGATGATCTTGCTACAGGATAATACTGTCTATCAGCTTTAGCACAAGAGTTAGGCACCCAGTCTGAATTTCTTTCTTACATAAGAGATTTTATGTATTTGAATTAATCAAGCTGGCCACATGAGGTCTCTGTCTTTCCCTAAAATGCTAATGTATTTTAAAAGTATCTTGCAGAGAGGACTGTTCAGTGTATCACACAGTATACAGAAGCACATGAAGGGAGCTAATGTGTACAAGCACGGAAAATAATGTTAGAAATCTAGTTTATTATTCTGAAATAATATATTTCACTGGGAAAAGGAGAAATAGGAATGAACTTAAAACCACGGATAATGAAATTAAGAACATTGTACTCCATGGATTAATGCCTCTAAAAGAGTCAGCCATGTTTTCCAGTCTGGGACTTAGTAAGCTAGAATGAAAGAATTTTTAAGTAGTAAAACATAGAAGCTTGGCTACCTAAACAATGCATCTAAATACCAAATTAGTTTACTTAAACTGAATGGCTAGAATTTTTGGAAATATATGTAGCTCCTCATTAAGTATCTAAACAAGTTTTAAATCATGGTTCTGATGAAAGATTGAACAATGTGTAAATCTTGGTCATGGATATAATGAACCCCTATATTCTCCTGTAATCATTACCAGCAGTGTCCCATTAAAGTCCACAGTACAAATTCTGACTTACATAGCCAATACCTTGTCAATATTGTCTATTTCACTTAAGCAACACTAAATGGTTCACTATGATTCAACTCCATTTAAATATGTTAGTGAAAATAAAAATCCAGAAATGAAGGAGAAAAATTACACTTAATAAAGTGAAGAAAAATGAAATTAAAACAAGCATATGTTAAAAACAACTAGCAGAGTCAGGGAAAAACAAAAGCAAACAATATCATTTTAGTTCGGAAATGAGTTTTTTCCAAATACGGTCTGAGGAGCTAATGAAAAAAATGACGAACAAAATTTTTATAAAAATAAACGGTGGAAGGCAGAATGTCCTTTGGTTAATATTTTTAAAGTGCCAAAATTCACACTAAGCAAAACTAGAGCTTTTAAATTTCAAAACTCTAATCAAGTTCAAGTTCTTCCCTATCAACTTTCTGATTTGGACCTGTTTCCACAAAATTAAATTCAATAGGCTACAATATTAGTGATATTAATATTTTATGTACTTGACTGTCACTCAGGGGAATCATTTTATGAAACTGTGTAAATATTTTAATAGATGCTATCTGCTCACCTGTAAAACCAATTGGTTATTCTACAGCTACATAATTTGGTACTTATAGAACTACATAGTATCTTTTACAAGGTTATGGTTCAGATCTAATTGTTTAATAAATCACTACTGACTGTTTTGGATGTTTGGAGGTCTAAGGAGCCCAAGATTTAAATATAGAGTTAGGAAAAACATATTTCTGTCCATCCCCAGAAGTGAAACCATGCAATAAACAGAATGAAGAGGACCTCAAAGTCCCATTCCTATACATGAGGCTTTTTGAAAGTGCAAGCCTTTTTCTTCTCTTTGGTGAGGCCTAATCTTGCTACTCAGGGACAACATACTCAATTCCATCATGTCACTCACTTATGAGAACCACTGAATTGATGGATACTTATTATATACTTAGTCTGCTTTAGGTATGGTGGGTATCAGCTGCACACAGCACATTTTTTGAGCAAATGTAAGTACTGGCCAGGTACAGGTTTCCTATACTGCATTTCACAGCACCTCATGGAATGATACGTATCTCCACCCCTACAAAAAAAAAAAAAAAGGAACAGTGTAAAAGCCCATCTACCTTTGTTTACTTTATAATGAAAATATATTTGCACCATCATTATTTTTCTTTTCCTTCATTTAAAGATGCCTGGTCTGTGTGCTTAAAGAAATGCCAACTACCAATCATTATTCTTTGAAGCAACTGTATACAGAAGCACATGAAGGGAGCTAATGTGTACGGAAATAAACAAAAGCATAGGTCTGGAAACCCACCCGTCAAATTGAAAAAACACCACAGAAAGAGTACAAGGAAGAACTGGAAGCTGGGGTTCTGCACTGCTCTACCAGAGGAAAAAGTGGTCTGCTTCCAAACTTGCTACAAAGACATCAATGAACATATTAATCACTACTAGAATCTTCTTCTGGTAATTTTTATAATGGCTCTTAAAGGTTCTGAACTACATTCTCCTCAGTTTAAGGTTTCTGAGACTCAAAGCTATTGTAATATCCATTATAAAATATACCACTATAGAAATACTAAATACCAATCTCAGGTAAGTACCTGGATCAATCTTGGGTTTCATTTTTTAGTTCTATGACAAGGAGCACAAATTTGAGCCCTCTGTTCTTCCTATTGTTTAACGTAATACAAGACTCAACAGACACATGTATCACCTTAACATACATCAATTGCCCTATAGAACTACATACTGTTAAGAATGAAGAGGTAAACAAATGACACCACTTAAGCACTTGTGTGGTGTGAGGTCAAGTGAAATGGGAAGGGAGAAGAAAGCAGACAGACCAACAACCCAAAAAGATCCCAATTCTTATAGTATTGAGTCTGTTAATAGTGCTTACTTGCCCCAATTTTATAAAAATGAAATAAAAATCAGAAAAGAGTAAACTGCCTGATTATTTTCTTTTACACTCATTAATTCTTAAAAGTTAAAGAAAAAAATATATATATATTTAAGTGGAAAGTATATCAACTTCACTTTATTAGCCTAATTTAAGAATAGGATGCAGAAAAGGGGGTTAAGGTCAGTTATGAAGGAAAGGGTTAAAATTTGTGACAGTAAAGATCCCTTTAATATTCTGGTGCAGTCCTCAATCGCCGCAGCCTAATTGTCGGTCAATAGAGTTGAAATCCAGAATACTGAAAGCAGACTCCTGTTATCCATTTTTGTCCAGTGACTCTTCAGTTACAGTGTGATGAGGTCTACCAGGTTGCCTTTAGGAGGAGTCATGCTGTCAGGAAAGAAATTTACTAAGGTGTCAAAGAGCTGAGTTCTTTGAGCATAGGTGTGATCCACATCTGAAAAGCCTGGTGAAGGAAAGATACAAAAAAATTCATCCACTGTGTTTAAGACTCAACTAAAAAGCTAGCTGAGAAAAGCAGCAATATATAATGGAAAAGCCAAAATCAAATCAGATTTTAAAACCAATCATGGGTCCTGATGCAGTTCTACCCCTTGGTGGTAATCTTAGGTAAAAGTTAACCAGCCTGTCTGCAACTGTTTTCTCAGCTGTGTATTTGTGATAATCCTGTTTACTTCATAGGGTTATTATGCAGATGAAATGCAATTATGTGAAAAGCACCTAGCCAAATGACTGGCACTTTAGTACTGTTTTCCCTTTTCCTTACTCTTTCCTCTTCTAGTCCACTGAAGAAATTTCATTCCTCTTTTCTAACTTGTTAATGCTCAGACCCACTGAAAGTCTTTTGATATAATACAAACACAATAAAATCAAAATGAAAGGGGTCTTCAGAAAGTGGCCTAAAATCATTAAGGCCATGACAACTGCAAGTAGTCTCAGAGAACTGAGTGAAAATATAAATGGGAAGGAAATACCAAACAATACTATGTGGAATGGTACATGACGCATAGTAAATACCATACACTGATGGTACTATGCACACACAGGCTCTATGCTAGACATACATTGTGTGAAAACCAGAGAAATGATCTTTCATCCACGTGATTAGAAAGTGGATGACATTCTTAAAAGATGGGGACCACTGAAATAAAGGATATTTTTTCCCATTTAACTTACCCTAAACATTTAGGTTTTAAGTTCCTCAAGCTAAAAGGCAATTCAGAAATGCCTCTTTCCTTTAGTCAGCTGGTGTGTTGTGCCCAGCTGCCTCAGATTTCTTATGCACATATTAAGTATGAAGATAAAATAAAGTAGTCTTTTGATTTCCCCATTCCTGAAATGGCTGAGACCCGGAATCCTAATGAGAGTCATCAGAAACAGAAATAGTGCCAGGAACAGTTATATATGCCCTGATACTCAGTGAAGACTAATTCAAATTGGACCAATTTTCATTCAACTTAGAATATAGCTTTAGGTGCAATCTGTTTTTCAATCTTGTAAAGAACATGAATAGAACATAACATTGCCAAGGATACCAGTTTTCTGGTAAGAAAATAAACAATGCCTTAAGAATGGTTCATTACTTTTTATTTTAAAATACTTCATTATTATTTCAAGTTTGAGGGCAAGTGTTTACTCCTTTGAGCCAAACTAAAGATTTAACAAAGTCTATTATCATATCGTAGAAATGAATAGAAGGAAATATTCCAGAATATAAGCAAAAATTATCTCTGAATTGTGAGACTGTATTTTTTCAATTTTATGCTTTTCTCATTTTCCTAATTTGCTTCTTCAACTTATTTTGAAAAATTTCAAACACAGAAAAATTTGAAGATTAATACAACAAACACTCATATAGCCTTAACCTAGATTAATCAATGCTAACATTTTGTCACAGTATGTTCTCATTCTCTTTGTGTGTGTTGTATGTATTCCACTCATATTATTTTTGCAGAACGATTTGGGAGACATCTTCACCCCTAAATATGTGAGCTCATTTCACCCCAGAACAAGAATATTTGCTTAAATAACCACTATATATTAAATTCAGGAAATATAACAGTTATTTATTGTCCCAATAATCTTTTTTATAGTCATCTTCCCCACTAATCTAAAATTCAATCTGAGAACAAACATTATATTTTGTTTTCAAGTCTCTTTACTCTGGAATGGTTCCTCAGCCTCTCTTTGTTTTTTTATGACTGACATTTTTCAAAAGTACACAGCAGTTATGTGGCAGAAATGTGTAAACTTGGGTTGTCTGACTGTTTCCTCATGACCACATTCAGTCATGTGATTGATACTATGCCCTTCTCAGGGCATCATCTCGGGAGGCATGTGCTATCAGTTTGTCCCAATACTGAGGATATTAACTTTGATCACCTGGTTAAGCTGCTGTATGTCAGATTTCTTCAATGCAAAGGAGTTTTTTTTCTCCCTTTGCAATTAATATTGATGAGAATCCAGCTTGAGACTGTATAAACATCCTGTTCCCCAACAGACCAGCACCCAGTGATTCTTGCTAAAAAATAATTATAATTTGTATGATGGTGACTTTCTAACCCACAATTCCTTCCATATTTACTGGTTGACATTAATTGTAAAGAGGAGGTTTTCCTGTCCCTCCCTCTGTTTTATTTATTTGTTTGCATTAATATGTACTCAAGGATCCTTTTCTTGTTCAATGTTACATTCATTACTGTCACTATTCATTTTAATAGTCATACTGTGTCAGATTTGGCCAATGAGAGTTCTTTCAAGCTGGCTTCTGTAGCTTTTTTTTTTTTTGGTATCATTACTCTACAATTACATGAAGAACATTATGTTTACTAGGCTCCCCCCTTCACCAAGTTCCCTCCACATACCCCTTCACAGTCACTGTCCATCAGCATAGTAAGATGATGTTAAATCACTACTTCTCTTCTCTGTGTTGTAGAGCCTGCCCCGTACTCCCCCACACATTATACATGCTAATTGTAATGCCCCCTTTCTTTTTCCTGCCCTTATCCCTCCCTTCCCACCCATCCTCCCCAGTCCCTTTCCCTTTGGTAACTGTTAGTCCATTCGTGGGTTCTGTGATTCTGCTGCTGTTTTGTTTCTTCAGTTTTTCTTTGCTCTTATACTCCACATATGAGTGAAATCATTTGGTACTTGTCTTTCTCCGCCTGGTTTATTTCACTGAGCATAATACCCTCTAGCTCCATCCATGTTGTTGCAAATGGTAGGATTTGTTTTCTTCTTATGGCTGTATAATATTCCATTGTGTATATGTACCACATCTTCTTTATCCATTTATCTACGATGGACATTTAGGTTGCTTCCATTTCTTAGCTATTGTAAATAGTGCTGCGATAAACATAGGGGTGCATCTGTCTTTTTCAAACTGGGCTGCTGCATTCTTAGGGTAAATTCCTAGGAGTGGAATTCCTGGGTCAAATGCTATTTCTATTTTAAGCATTTTGAGGAACCTCCATACTGCTTTCCACAATGGATGAACCAATTTACATTCCCACCAATAGTGTAGGAGGGTTCCCCTTTCCCCACAACCTCGCCAACATTTGTTGTTGTTTGTCTTTTGGATGGTGGCGATCCTTACCGGTGTGAGGTGATAGCTCATTGTGTTTTCAATCTGCATTTCTCTGATGACAAGTGATGTGGAGCATCTTTTCATGTGTCTGTTGGCCATCTGAATTTCTTTAGAGAACTGTCTATTCAGCTCCTCTGCCCATTTTTTAATTGGACTATTTGCTTTTTGTTTGTTGAGGTGTGTGAGCTCTTTGTACATTTTGGATGTCAAGCCTTTATCGGATCTGTCATTTATGAATATATTCTCCAATACTGTAGGGTACCTTTTTGGTGTCCTTTGCTGTACAGAAGCTTTTCAGCTTGATATAGTCCCACCTGTTCATTTTTGCTTTTGTTTCCCTTGCCCAGGGAGATATGTTCATGAAGAAGTCACTTGTGTTTATGTCTAAGAGATTTTTGCCTATGTTTTTTTCTAGGAGTTTTATGGTTTCATGACTTACATTCAGGTCTTTGATCCATTTAGAATTTACTTTTGTGTATGGGGTTAGACAGAGATCCAGTTTCATCCTCTTACATGTAGCTGTCCAGTTTTGCCAGCACCATCTGTTGAAGAGACTGTCATTTCCCCATTGTATGTCCATGGCTCCTTTATCATATACTAATTGACCATATATGTTTGGGTTAATGTTTGGAGCCTCTATTCTGTTCCACTGGTCTGTGGTTCTGTTCCTGTGCCAGTACCAAATTGTCTTGATTACTGTGGCTTTGCAGTAGAGCTTGGAAGTTGGGGAGCGAGATCCCCCCCCCCC